TCTCTCTCTCTCTCTCTCTCTCTCTCTCTCTCTCTCTCTCTCTCTCTCTCTCTCTCAATAGACGTGTCGTTGTGATACGAGTTGGAGGCACGCAATCCCACCAGATCTTGAGTCATGTCCCATCCGTCAGAATAAGAAAAGTGTCAATCAAGGAAAGATTCTCAAGTTCCTGCACATGAAGCTTGCGGTTGCGTTTGCGGGGCTTAGACTTCGTATTCAAAGTCATGTACTGTGTTGCCCTTGTCGTCGACTGCACTTTTCCCTCTCTTTCTGTTGTCAGCATTGTAGTACTGTGTTGCCACATCTGCCACACGTGTGTCGCCGTCGAGCTTGAAAATGCAGAAACTCATAAATGTGTCTCGGTTCCGGGCTGTATTGACTATGTCGTTCTTAATAGCGGCCATTTTCAGCAACTGATCCGACGCCTTGCTTGACTTCTTTGTCTATTCTATTCCTGTGCGAATCACGAGTTCGGTAAACGCTAGTTGCTGCAAGGTCACGCCAAGATTTTCGTCATCCCTTCTTATTTGAAAGACTTTTGTGAGTGCCCTCTTAAAATGTTATGCTCCCCATGGCTCGTCGCCCTTCCTTTTCCATGTCTTGTCTTTATTCATTTGGCTACGAATATCGTTTCGCGCGGTGTTATTGTGATCCGACTGCGTGCCACGTACGAGCGGGAGACCTCTCTCTGCTCAAAACCAGTGTCTTAAGTGTCAAGTCAACTATCAACGGACCGTTGTCATCATTCGGTTGCACTCTATAAGCACACACCGTACACGGTTGTCCTCTAATACTTCCAGAATCCTACCCTCACATCTTCTCCTAAAAGGTTAACAGCCAACTGCAACGCATTGAAGAAGTCGTCCTCCGAAGGGTAGAATGATGCGTCCCTCGCTGTCGAGTGCACAAAAGTTTTAGCAAAGGACCTCAACAGTCTGTATTTTTGCTTTTTTTCTAATAAGTCGTATTCGTCTCGCATGCCACCCACCCAATGCTTCACCTTTTTCGCCTCCTTTTGACAATTTTTCCGTCCTTGTAAAATCTGGCGGCATGTAACAACGTGTATAACAACCACAAGTTGGAAGTTGGTATCCGTTACTCACATGCATTCGTTTGGCAGGAGAAACAACCACAACCGCACAAACATATTCAAGGCTATCTCAGATTTCGTTATCGAAAAACAAGTTAGGATTTCGCTATCATTTTGCACTATCGGGAGGTGATAACAATAATTGATGCGAATCAACGATGATGTCTTGCTTCTTTCATTCGCCTTTTGATGAAATTTTCTCTTCTCTTTCCCGACCACAGTGCTTTGGCTCATCCTCGCTGGTGGGTGTCTTTCCTCTCGGTGCTTCAGGGACAGTGAAAAATCTTCATACCTGCGGCGGGGTGCCATTGTAAAACTACATGACACATACAACGTTTCATTTATAAGCGAATTACTCAAACGCTCTGTAATGTATACAGAACGTTTAAATGCGAATTATCCCGAACATTGTCGAAGAGAGAGAGAGAGAGAGAGAGAGAGAGAGAGAGAGAGAGAGAGAGAGAGAGAGAGAGAGAGAGAGAGAGAGAGAGAG